GTATTTATACATAGGTCTCTAACTTATTAATTTATATTAATGCAGATTTAATATTTGTTTATGTTATTTATAGATTCATTAAGTCTTTAATAGAGGATTATTCCTTATACTGCTTTATATTAGTGATCAGTTAATATTTTTTCATATTATTCATACACATGCTTACTACTTTCTACACCTAATAGGTTTTTGTTTGAACATTTACATGAAATTTGTTGGACTAAAAGGTTTGTATTTAGACAATGAATGTTGGCTGTGAAGATTATTTTGTAGAATGTTGGAGTTTTTGAAACCAAAGAGAAATGAGGATTTGTCAGTTTAGATATGGTTCTAATTGATGAAAATTATGTGATTTTATATTACTTTATTTCTATGAATATACCAGTTATTAACTAAGTTGGAAAAATTTGATCCAAATTAATTACAGGGACAATCTAATATTATTTTGGTAATTGTTTGTGGTATGAAGGTTTTTTAACCAGTTATATTTAGTTGTTTTGATTAGTGCATACCACATAAACATTTGGTGTATGTCCTATTTGGAGAGTGGGCATGCGTTTGGATGATAGTTACCATGTCATTTAGGTGTACTTTTGTTTTTCTTAATAAAATTGTCAAATGTACTATTGTCTTTTCAAAAACAAAAAAATTTCATGCAATGCCATCAATTATACAAGCAATGCATACATGTAGACGATCTTTAATGTTACATTTTATTTCATTTTACAACTTTATTTCTTAACAAAATTATATAATATATATAATCCATTAGTTAAATTCTTCTAACTTTTGCGAATCGTATAGATACAATGTGTTGATGACTGTATTTAACAACTTACAGTTATTTATATGTACAATCTACATTACTACTCAAATTACTCACAATTAGGGGTGTAAATGATACGAGACAACTCGCGAGCTACTCGAGATCGACTCGGTCAAAACTCGGTCAACACTCGACTCGAATAGGCTCGGCTCGAACTCGAGCTTGTCTCGATATATTAACGAGTCGAGTCAAGCTACACAGTACTCGACTCGAAAAGCTCGTGAGATACTCGATTATTTTATATATAATTAGTTTTAAAATATAATCAGTTTTTATGATAAAATTTGTAAAATATAAATAATAAAAATGTCCTACATTTTTAGATATTTAAACAAAATTATGCATTTTTTAATTATAAAACGAATCAATTATTATTTTTATTAAAATCAAAATTAAAAAAAAAGACAAAGAAAAACTATAAAAAAAAGGTTAGTGAAATTGTCCCACATTGAAAGAAAGATGGTAAAGGAAGGGAGAAAAAATGTTATAAAAAGATAGGGAGGTGAATGTAATTTCTAACTTTGTCTTTTTGATGATGAAGTTTGAAGTTGATCATTTAGTTTTGTAAAAAACTAAGAGAACACATTTAAGTTTTAAAATTTATAAGAGAAAAATCCTAAAATTTCATAAATTTGAATGAGTGAGCTTGATTCGAGTTTGATTCGAGTTCGAGCTCGAGTTTGAGTTTGATTCGAGTTCGAGTTCGAGCTTGAGAAATAGTTATCGAGTTCGAGTCGAGCTTTGATTTTTACTACTCACGAGTTTTCGAGTCGAGTTCGAGCTTGGAAATTCGGTTTCGAGTTCGAGTCGAGTATAGTGATACTCGAGCTCGACTCGCATCATTTACACCCCTACTCACAATACCGCACAACGCACGGTTCCCATTTTTTAAATAAACCTAGTTTCTTGAACAATAAAAAAACCCTGAAAATCAAAAAACCTAGTTTCTGCTTCACATTTTCGAGGAACTCCATCCAAGCCTTAGTAGAGGCGGTGGGAGGAGTTTGGAAGCAAGATATCGACATAGCAGGTTATTGTAACACTCCAAAATTTGAAAAAAACGACTAAATTTTTTTTTTGTTAAAATACTTAAATTACTTATGGATTGGATTCCTTGTTTTAACCCCATTAACCAATACTTCGTTAAGTTAGAAGTATTATCTTCTCTTTACAATTTTTTAAATTATAAGTATTATATATATATATATATATATATATATATATATAGGGTTGGGTTCACGTGAGACCAGCCTGTTTTCGTGAGACCCGTGAGACCACATTTTTACACGTAAACTTCATAGCAAAAACACTGTGAAGGTTTAAAAAAAGTCGAACATTCATAGCAAAAACACTGTGAAGGTTTTAAGAAGTCACCTTCACAGCATTTTGCTGTGAAGTTTCAAGTGTAAAATGCTGGTCTCACGGGTCTCACGAAAACATGCTGGTCTCACATGATCCCAAGTCTCTCTCTCTCTCTATATATATATATATATATATATATATAGGGTTGGGTTCACGTGAGACCAATGATTTTTCGTGAGACCCGTAAGACCAATTTACGTTCATTGATCAGCTTTATAAGCTAATGATCTAATAGTCTAAAATTGCACGGTGGCAATTTTGTGATTATTGAGAAGTCTGATGGCGTTTGTGGATGTTAAGATCTAACAATTGTAGATCTAATCCAATGGTTGGAAATTGGTCTTATGGGTCTCATGAAAAAGTCTTTGTCTCACATGATCCCAAGTCTATATATATATATGTGTGTGTGTGTGTGTGTGTGTGTTAAGAAAAATACATGCAGAGAAACAAATATAGGACAACCTTCCCAAGAATTTCTTCTAAGGGGCCGTTTACCAATTTTTTTGGTTAAGTGCTGATTCGGGTAAGAGGTCTGACTGTGATAAGAGGTCTGACTGGAGTAAGTGCGTATTGTATTTTCTTGTTTACCAAACATTTTGTATTAAGTGCTGATCGAGTAAAAAAGACCATTATATCCTTTTTTCTGGAATAAGTATTAATTGAAAATTATTGTATTATTTAAGCTCAATAATATTTGGATAAGATTAAAAAAGCACAGGCCCATGTCAACCCAGATACATTTAAGCCCAATTATATTTGATCTATATGTATTTCCACTCAAAAACCTATTTCTCTTTACCCAAAACCCTAGTTCCCTTATTCTCTTTGCCACCTCCAGACCGGCCGCCGTCGCTGCCCTCCCGTCACCCTCCAACACCTTGAACCGGACATGGCCGCCGATGGTGGTGGTGTTCCTCTTCCCCACCTATTTCTCTTTGCCCAAAACCCTAGTTCCCATGATTCTCTCTGCCACCCTCGACCGGCCGCCGCTCGCCCTCCCGTCACCGTCCAACCCCTTGAATCGGACATGCCCACTGACGGTAGATAAAAATTAATAGGGAGGGGTAGAAGTTTTTGTTTCCTCAAAGTAATCGGACATGGACACCTGTTTGTATGAAGTTTTCTTCATTACCTTGAATCGGACATGCCCAAAACTTCCCCTGATTCTCTCTGAATGACCCACCTGTTTGTATGAAGAAAGACACATCAATTTAGGGTTTTAGATGAAGAGGGTAGATAAGGAATACATCCCTCCTGGTAAGATTCATTTTTTTGCTGACTCCAATAAGAGGACGGTCAGAGGCCGAAAATCTGATTGTTGATTTTGCTGTTAGGTAAACACTTTTACCTCTTACCCGGGTAAGCATCTCTTAACGGGTAAGAGGTGGTAAGAGATTAGTAAACGGGGCCTAAGTAGACCTTCACCTCCTTAAAATTACTAATTCGAGGAGATGAACCCTTGGCCCCCCAAACCCATCTCCGATGACCTAACAAAATCAACATCAATATCAAGAATATGACTTGTTCTGAAAACAAAATGTTATACAAAACTCATATAAATCAATAATTCTAAATTAAACAAAAAACCTAGCTCAATTAAAAAGAACTTGAACAATTAAAAAACCCTTAGTTCGCAACTTTTGACAATGTTTGGTTTCATTTATTATAAGTTTAAGATTTACCAGTTTTAGTTTTGTTATTTATGTTAAAAAAATATTATATTAATTTATATATTTTTAGAACGTGTTTTCGTCCGCTGACCTCGTTGGTGACGACAAATTTGGAGGAGTCGCCCCAATGTTGGATCGAAAGCAGAGATTTTTTGGCGAATAATTATTATGAACAACCGGACCCCGATCAAGGGATGAGTCATGAATCAAATGATGACGATGACGACGATGTCCGACCACGATATTCATCCCAATAAGCGTACCTCCGAAAAAGTACCAAATGTTCATTGGGTGACCAGGGAGCTAGACGTGAGGTCGAGACATTTGAGTATATACGATACTTATCCTCTGAAAATGTTTAATTAAGCAGATCAATGCTTCAACAAAGGTTATAAAGAAGTACCTCCCTGAATTTTTATTGGAGATAGGATATTATATAGGGGTCGGGGAGACACCCAAGTTGCCGAAATAAGAGAGTAGTTTATCCTGAAGACGTGCCTCGACAGGCTGGAGTCCTCGGTGATTGTGAGGTGTTCTATTGTATGTTTGTTGAGCAGTTGTTCCAAGGAGAAGATGTATACTGTGCGGAGCCAACAAACCATCATGCGATGTTATTTCGTCAACGTTTGACATCTATTTTGTATAGAACACACATACCTTAGTTGTAATAAAACGTTTCTTTGGTTTAAATGACATTGTAAATGATATTTAAATGATATTCACTAATAATTGTGTCAATAAAAATTATCCTACAATCGTCTCGATGAACAAAAACATCATAGTCACTAAAAAGGAAATCCAACTTATCGTCAACATCATCTTCAACCGGCGAGCTTGTAAAACAACTTCAAAAAGGGAAGCTTCAAAATTATATTTTGATATAAATAACCTTGGAATAATTACCACATATCTAGGGCACATGGGTGGGTCAAGCCAATCAATAAATCCACAATTTATTCCCTGTAAAAAAGTAAGGAATATATATATATATATAGGGTTGGGTTCACGTGAGACCAGCCTGTTTTCGTGAGACCCGTGAGACCACATTTTTACACGTAACCTTCACAGCAAA